TCTCTGATAACAACCACAACCAGCATTGTTAGACTATTTTAGACCCGTATATTTGGCCCCTATAATAGGAACCTCAAAATATCAGCACCAAACGGATCAAATAATTGCAATGCAGGATTGCAACACGTATATATATACCGGGTGTACCTGTTCCAATAGATTATCTCAGCCATTTCAAAGGATGGAACTTTGAAATTATCATTGAAGTCAAAATCAAGATTACAAAAATATCGTAGCCTACTGAAAATTGTCGTTTTCTCCATTAAATCAAATTTAAAATACGAAATACATCGCTGGAACGGTAATCTTGAGTAGAAATCAAAAATTGCAAAAAATATACAGGGTGCTATTCGAAATAAAAAAGCTAGTCACTTCCGGTCAAACCGGAATTTTGTTTTCCTCAGTTGGAGCTTCCTTGGACGAATTTTCATTTTTCAAAATGGCTGATAGGATTCATTGGAACAGGTATACTGGGACACCCGGTATACCTATTACCACAGTCTATTAACTTGCCTATTACATCGAGTGTTGGTTATTAGGAATAGGTATTTTGTGATCTCTTATTAGTGTATATGTAGGTTCCCATCTTTATAATGGGTATAGGTATGTAGTTTAATTATTTTAAATAAATCAGGTATATAGGTAGCTTCATTGCTATATAGGTAGAAGAAATGAATACACGTAAATACTGCACACTTTTTGGGATAGGACAAATCTGAGGGTACCCACAATTACAAGAATATCTGAAAAAAACAATAGTTCATGATGATGAACCCATCAACTTTACTTACGATTTTTCCTCAGGAGCACCACATAAGCGCACACTTTTCTCATGTAAACACCAACGCACCAACCACGGCAACTATCTCAGACACTGGCACTACAAACTCCATTCTTCGACTCTTTGTGGACACCTGAGGCAGGTAAACAGCCGTTCACAAGGCAGAAGAGAAGACAATAACCTTCAACCTTGGTCAACTCAAAAACCGGCCTCTGCAACGTCCCAACGTCTAGCCCTAGCCGGCCGAGCGTTTGACAGCGAAGGATGATGATTGGCGATTGTTTTTGCCCCTGACACTCGAATTGACACAACACAAAACACAATACTGTTTACTAGTTTACTTGAGACTGAGACTGAGCGTTACCATCGAGAGTGTTTGTCCGGAATGCTAGCGATGACGGTGAATCGGTGATTATGTCGGTTTGGTTAGTGTGCTTGTAAAGCTTCCTTTTCGAAAGGAAAGGCTTCTCTTGATCTCTTGAATAATATTGTGTTACGGTTGTGCACATGCAGTGGATATTCGTGCTGTTAATTCTGGCGTTTACAACGGACGCGCGATGTATGCAATAAATTATTAGGCTAGCTTGTATGAATAAGCGGTTTACCTTGTCATGAAAATATCTGAGAGATTTGATTGCCAGTGATTGCTAGCTTTGGCACTTTAGCAGCGACGGTAGGTACGATTGCTCCTGGAAATATTTAAAAATGGGATTGGCCAATAATTGGCAGTTGTATTGTATGTACACTGATGCCCAAATAAATCGTAACGACTCCTGTGATGATTTCATTGAAATATCAGCTTATGCCCACGGACTACTATATTTCTCTTCATTACACAGCACGAACGCGACGGTTGGTAGTTGATATTGATATATTCGTGGTATGGTGTGAAAAAGCAGGTACGATGAGTAGTGAACAATTATTCTATAATTTGGTTCAATATCATTCATTTTGAACTATGGATGTATGGCAGCTTGTGACATAAAAGTTCATAAACATCATCAAGTAGGTATCTGAAGAAATTCAATATTGTCAGGATTATAGATATTCATTCCTCTGGATATGTCGCTATAGTTAAAACATTAATTATCGTTATTGAAACTATTTCGTCGAATTAAACGAAAAAATTGAATAATACCTATGATTCGTAGAGTGCATTCTTGAAGGAGTCGATGCACCTCATCGGCTTATTTTATTCCCAACAAAATCTGCACGGTGTTATATAACAGTGTGACAAATTTCATACATTGCTCGCAATAAAATAAAAAGAAGATCCGTAATTTATTATATAAGGAGAGTTTGGGATGAACTTCCTGAAGTTCATAAGGAATTTGGTTGAATCAATGTCGAACCGATAATTGAAAGTGCTTGCTGGTGATGGTTTCTATACAGAATAATGAAGAATGCATGGTAAACAAAATCAATCTATTTATTTTTGTATATTAAATTTATATTTGATTTATTTCATTGAATTTTCGTTTTAATCTGAATTCGGTTTTCTTTGATACATAAATTTTAATGGTAATGGGTAATGTAATTGTCTTGAATTCTTACTCACAATACATGTATGCTATTTTCCTTAAGACTTCAAATAGTGAAGATACTTTATAATATGTTTAAAAAACATTTAACTTCGAGATCATCCATTTTGTGTAACTTTGAGAAACTATTTGAGTATCTCACATCCACATAGAAACATCAAATACCAAATAAATTTTAAAAATAGCCTTTGTCATTTCCATCATAATTAATATCAATAAGGATTGGTAATCTTGAAACCAATACTGCTCAAGCGCTTGCTAATTGAATGCACCCAAAACACTTGAAACAGGTCAAAAAATGCTAATGAGGTGGACCCTTGGGGAGATCGACATTGTGCCTAAACGATGAATATAGTACATGGGCTTAAACAAAGTATACCAAAATAACTCAAGAGTCGTTACGATTTATTTGGGCAACAGTGTACCTAAACAAGGTGATTCAAAACTAAGCGGCATCCTTTCGGGAGCGTAATCCTTGGTTATAAATAAGGCAAAAATGTTCCATTAACATGGGTCCGGAAATGCTTCATAAAGGAGTAACGCCACTTTGAATTGGACTATTGGACACCCCAAAGACGATTTATTTCTCGCTATAACTTAAAAATCCTCCACAATTAAATTTTGAAAATTGGTGTATGGTATACAAAAATTTGGTGGTTTGGTGGTAAATAAGATTATGATTTCAACATTTCTAAATTTCATTCAGGGGCATCACATGCGTGGGTCTATGGTTAGGTTATCGTGATTTTGTAAGAGAATCACAAAATTCTAGTTTTTACGTAAAAAAGGTATATTATTCTTGGTTCAATTCGATTGAGCTCTTCGTTTATGAGACCCATATTATAAGTGGGACTGTTTGCATGCCTTATTTTCATGCATGGATTACGCCCCAAAAGAATTGCCGATTACGTTTGAATCACCTTGTAAGTATAATGTGTAGGTACTTGTAAAAATTGGGTGATTGCCGATCAATCAATTTTCTGATATTAAAAAGGCGAGAGGCGAGTCGAAGGCGAGATTACATAGGGTGCTCCATAATTAGCGAACAAATATACTTTGGCAGCAAAAAATTGACGATCAAGAATCAATAAGGAAGTTTCGAGGGAAGTTTTCAAAAATTTCATCCATGGGTATGTCAAAATGAGTAGTTGGCTGGATTGAAACAATAACTTTCATAATTGGAAGACATTTTGAAATCAATAAGCACGTGCATGAAGGTGTATCTCATCTTATCAACCATGAGACGATCAATCAATTATCAAAATTTGTTTCACCCATTTCGGAGGTATTGAATTAAAACCGAGATAAAAACAATATTTAGGTCTAGGGTTGTACTACCTATATCCCTTTGGAAACATTTTTCGACCTATTTTCTATCAGTTCAGGTAGGTTTCTGAGAAATTGACCAAAGGGTTTTAAAATTCTGCAATAATGGGTAGCTACCTACCCTTTAATTGTCATCGGAGAACCTCTATTTCTCATATGTTTCGAAAATGAAGAAATATTTATGGTATCATAGGGAGTATTATACATAAGCACAGCTTTCCCAGTTCTTAGTAAGTTTTAGTAAAAAGAATATCTGATATCCTTACACAGACATACACAAATTTACAAGTTTGAAGGAAATGAAAATAAAACAAAATAAATTAGCCATAATGAATCGAGAATTCTATTGAAAAATTCTAATTTCTACCCAGCCAAGTTCTCAACCATCACTAATTATACCCCAATTCCCATTCATCTATCATAAAATAAGAATCGGTTTCAGCACGAAACATCGGAAAAATGATTATTAAGTAATGCCCCCAATAATTACTCTGTTGAACTGAGCTTCTTGAACCGGACCTATACCTATCTGATCACGCTATGCCACAGACGAAAAAAATAAAGAGCGTATAAAAGATGAATAGCTACCTATTTTTCCACTGTTAACGAATGATCATAGGCATAGACAGATATACTTAAATTTTGCATTACATTTCATGAAACACCAGCATAATCCACAGAAGCGATCGAAGATTATATTTGTTCTCAACCATACATAATAATTATTAGTACCTACATTTTAAGTTATAAAATAGGGCCATTTATTATGTATAATATAATGGTAGATTTATATAAAAGTCAGTAAAGTCATGTCATATCTAATGAAGTGATATAGAGGTGGTGATAAAATCTTACGACTTTCTAAGATTCATGTTCTCATTTTCTCAAGACTTACGACATCTGTAAAAATTCACAAGGATGTTCTACCTGTTTTATTATCGAGTTTATTATGACCAATAAAATTATTTTATTCCCGTAGGCGTTTCATTTCAGAGCAGCGAAAATTTTTATCACCCAGTATTGAGTTTTCCTAACCTATAAAATGATTTGGTGAATCGGAAAAACTCGGTTATCCCGACCATCAAAGCGAAATGGAAGGTATACCATACCGTTCATGACTTGCAATCCATTGCTCACTGATTGTTTTGAGTACCTAACACATGGCACTATAACAGTAGGAAATCGAAACGATAATAATTATTGGCGAGGTTAGGAATATCCCAATAAACTGGTGGCTCATAGTTATCCCTACATTTTCAATCAATGGAGGTGACGCTTGCGCCTTTTTATATATTATAGGCCAGTCAACCACCCTTCGAATATTTTCTCTGCCAAACATTTTACCACTAACTATAAATGGAATAATCATAGTGCAATATCTGGAGATAGTATAATTCCAAACTCTTACATAAACGTCTTTCAAAAATTCAATTCGATTCACATAAGTGAAAGAGTAGGCTGAATTTCTTCCTCGAATTCAACAAGAATCTTCTCTCCTTCCCGCGTATACGAGGGATCGAACATTTTCCCTTCAGGATTCTCCCTAAACAAGTATTCCGCAAGAAAATCTATCGGATCATCAGGTTTCAACTTTGCCACCTCAATCAAACCCTTGGAAACCGTAGGAAAAATATACTTCATCAAGTAAAACCTCAGTGGCTCACTCTGTGCTGCAAGAATCTTCTCTTGCTCCTTCTGTAGCTTCTCGAACGTCTCTGCCCATCTCTCCATCTTGTCCTGATGGTCTTTGGTCGCCTTCTCCTCCAGAAGGTTCTTCTCTAAATTGCCTTCTTCCTCTTGGAGCCTCCTCTGTTCTTTTTCTAGCTTCCTGAAAGCATCTTCTTCTTCTGGAGACAGCCCAAAGCCAGGAATAGGATCACCGAAAATTTCACAGACGTAATTGAATATGCAGTCAAGGTCTCTCTCCTTTTCCGTGTCCTCATCCAACAGACCGATTAGTATTGGATGAATTCCAGCTTCATCAAAGAAATTGAGCACAGTGCTAGCATCAGTGTTATTACTCCTGAATTCACCTAGCCTGCGCAGCATGTTCACCTCATCATAGTGAGTACCTTGTATGAGCCTTTGAGGCAGCCTCATAACTCGTTCGCAAAGGAAATCGTCATCGGCTTCCAGACTGACTACGAAGTTTGGCATTATGCCTTCATTCGCGTTCCCAACCAGGTTACCAACTTGCTTCTGGTCTTCCCCAATCGCCCCTTCTCCTGGAAGCTCTATCCCGAGTTTCCCGCCTTCCTCAACCTTGCTCGCTTCTGCTACTTGCCCGTACAGCTCCTTAGCCTGCTGGATGGTTTTTGGGTACCCGTCTAAAACATAGCCACGCGTTTGGCACGCTTCTTTAGCCAGGAATGCTTTCATCAGTCGCACCAAGTACTGGTCTGGCAATTTATGGTCTTCGCTCTTCGCCATCAGAGTGGTGATATCCTTCACCTGCTCTTGCCAGTCTTCTATGTCTATGTCCTCTTCGACTTCCTCTTCTAGTTCTTCTTCTTCCTCTTCCACATCGCTTTCTTCGTCTTCCTCGTCCTTTTTCTCTTTGGCTGCCTTCTTTTCTCGCTGCCTTTGATTTTCTCTGGCTCTCTCGATGTTGTCTTCAAGTTCAGAGAGGGTTTCCTCTATCATGGATTTTACAGAGACGTAGTGAGCACCATACCGCTGGCAGAGCAATTCTGACAGCTTGGTCTTTCCTGATGCTGGAGGACCAAGGATTATTACCTTCAGAGGCTTCAGTGATTTAGTCTCGTCCATTTTGAATTGAAGTTAACAGATATGGTTTTTATAGCGGTTTCAATTGACAGCTGTTGGTGCACTTCAAAATGACACCGACCAATAACTATGGATGATAAAAAGGTGATGATAATATGATCAAAAGGATCACAACTGTCGTCTAAAGCATGCCAATAATGGCCAAAGGTAGAGTTCCTAAATGTACTTGACACTGCTGATTTGGACGTTTTTTTAATATACAAAAAACGTAAAAACAGCAGTGTCAAGTACATTTAGGAACTCTAGCCAAAGGGGAAGCTGCTGTTTTATCCATTTGACGAAGACTCGATTCATGTATGGAAAATGGTGAAAGACAAGATACTAGTGCTACTGATTGGCTACTGATCATGTCAGTACCTATTTATAATTTATATTTTTCAATATTATTCCGATTATATCTCTGGTTCCTTAAGATGTATCAACTTGGGGTTTCCACCATTTTTGTGAGTTAAGGTTTCATTCGAAATTCTCGATAAAAAATAGAAAATTGTTTGATTTTTCAAAAGGTGCGTTGAATTTCGTTACACCAAACTGTGGTAATGGGAGTTTTTCCATAGCGCAATTCATCCTCCCCTCCCTCATTTATTTGAAGAACTAGCGCAATTTTTTCCAATTGAAATGATTGGAAATCAACTGGAGATTATGAAAAAAAAAAGATTTTGACATACCTTGATATACCGAATTCTAACAAAACAAAATTGACCAATGCAATTACGCCCTTTAGCGGCCGTCCTGGAAACTTGAGAATAATTTCCAGAGATTCCTCTTGGCCACTTTCATCATCAATCATTTTTTACGAAACCGGTGCGGCGAATAGATTCCGAGATACAGCCGGCGTCCTTTCTTAGTCTTAGTAGTACACCCGGTACAGACTTTTCAGGGACACCTTGTATAGATGCTGTTTACGGCTTAGATGTTTCCTCTTCCTCCTGCTATAAAAATAATCAACCGATTGAGCAAATGATTCGAAATGTTGGTTGTGGTTTATGTACTTACCGATAAAGCGAATTATTTGAAATTTGGTTTTGGTTTATGTACATACAGGGAAATACCGAATCGTACCTTAGCATAATTAGAGGAAAACAAGGTGAACAACAGTTATGGGTTAAACCAAGATATCAAAAATCATCTCGGAGATCAGAGATGAGTTCAATATTTTTTTCTTTGCCTGGAAATGGTGGAAAATAGTAGATACTTTCATCTCTGGGACTTCGTTACGTTACGACAGCATCCGCATTTGGAAAGGTAATTCTTTTATTTCCTATTTTCTGTCGCTCCGGGATTACCGGACTCTTCTGGACTACAATAAATTTTCTATGGAGTGGCCGAACGTGATTGCTTGGGTGATTCCATTTTTTTGATAATGGGAATTGTATAATAGTTGCAATAAACAAAAATAAGTCGAAAATAAATAACCCTCGAGTTAGCTAAAACACCAGGTAAAGTCGTGAAAAAACTCTCATTCCTTGTTGCGATTATTTATTGTATTTGTAAGTTTCGTTCTCATAGATTGGAGCTGAACGATTGACAACATTTTTTATTTCCTGGTTTCAACGAAAAGGGATATCCTGTAATGTTCAGAGAACATCGTGAGAACCAAGGGAAATAAGGTAGGAATTGGTGTTCTTCTTAAATTGTTGGAGGTTATATGCCTCGAGAACGCCTCCCTTGGCAATGTGTTCCAGAGCCTCGCTGTTCGTTGGGTGAACGAGTCTTTGGAAAGAGATATGCAGGTTTCCAAAGAGACGAAAGGGGTGCGAAGCCTCAACTCGACGGGTTCATCTCGCGGGGACTGCTATGCGAGGAACAATTGTTGATATTTCAGAAGAGCATCGTCCATGAAAATATCTATGAAATAGAGCCAGATCGCCAACTTTTCTTCAGTGTTCCAGCGAATTGAGTGAGTATGTGAGCGAGGCATCACCCACGAGACGAATTGCCCTTTTTTGGACAGAATCCAACAGTTTCAAGGTATGTTTCTGTGCTGCACTCCAAATATGGGAACAGTATTCCAGGACAGGTCGGATCTGTGCCTTATAGATCATAAGCAGTAGCCTGGAAGTGGAATAGCTCCTGGCCCGAAACAGGAAACCAAGTTTTTGGGATGCACTTTTAGTAATTGATCTCACGTAATTTCCCAAGGAAGGTTATTGCTGATAGTAATACCAAGCATCGAAATGGATGTCTTCAAAGGTATGGTTACTCCTGACAAGCCCTGTTGGGCACAGTGAGATCGTGAGCTATGTACTGGACATGAATTTGCTTCCAGCAAATCGTTGATGTGGAGTAGAAATAGTGTTGGTGCTAGAATTGATCCTTGCGGAACACCAGCATTCATGATAAGAGAGTCAGATGAAACTCCGTCGACCACTACATGGAGAGACCTGTTTGAGAGAAAACTAGCTAGCAGACAACATAGCTGATGGGAAGGCAATCCATAAGATGGCGAGGAGTCCGTGGTGCCAGACTCGATCGAACTCCTTGGAGATATCAAGTGCCACGGCTAAAGTTTCACCATATTTTTCAATAGATTGCGAAACATTCAAACATACAGTGTGAAGAATGCCGTCGTTCAACATTTACATCATCCATATAATGACATAAATTAATCGAAATGTCATAATTCCCTCTGGCAATTCTCAATAATTCATTCACAATCTCTCAAAATTCTCAGTGAAAATGCTATACCATAGATTCCAAACTACATTCCAGTCCTTAATAAGATCAAAAAGACGTAACTTTTCTAAATGTAGTAAGTATACCACTCGGAAGTCTCAGTGAACGTCTTGTTATAATTCGAGGGTTACAGAAAATTCCTCAGAATCAGCTGAAAAAATAGCCCCTTTGTGTGAAGTAGAAAGATTCATAACGGAATGCATGGTCTCAGTTGGGGTAGAAGAACCAAAAGCAAACATTTTCGCACATAGCTTGGTCCAAGCGGATTCTAGAGGCATACACAGCCACGGACTTAACAGATTAGGTAAGACTGAAGAAACGGCACTTCTTCGTACTGTGGTCAGTCAAATAAGAACTATATTTGGACACTCTTCGACGAGGAGGGAAATAATTTCCCCCTTTTCGTCTAGCCACCATAATGAGCCAATGTGTATAGCCATCATTTTCCTATTATTATAATCAATTTTCTGTGAGAAAATCAACGTGATGGATTAGTCTCGATTTTTTGAGGTTCTTTTAGTCTAATTTCTCAATTGCCTCCCTCCTAAGGAAACTTCTATCTATCTTCTGATTCTTCTGTGAGGATAATGAGTAGGGGGGGGGAGGGCTAATGAAGATAAAAAGTAAAATACGAATATATTTCCTTTCCCATTTTATTGAACATATTGGTTTTCAGAAAATTATGTAAAGGATGTGAAAGACAAACTATGTGATGCTAATGCTCAGCCCACTATAACGAAAGAGGCAGCTTCAACAGCATTGGTATCCGGGCATAACGGATTAGGGGCAGTAGTTGGTAAATTCTGTATGGATCTAGCTATAGACAAAGCTTCCAAAACTGGAGTTGGATTGGTCGCTGCCAATGGTCGGTCAAATTAGTATACCTATACATATGATTTCCGAAATTGGAACGATTAATGAAGTATATAGTACATTTTTGTCGGAAAATATTATTTAGGAAGCAATTAGTCTGCCTGAAATTTTTTTAAATAGCTGATTGGTTCGCAACGGAACTAGAGCGTTCGGCATGGTCAAAAGCATCGGAAGTTTCAATGTCTTGCAATGGTGCCAGACTTTCAATAATAGTTTTGCTGAGAGCGAAAGAATATTGAAAAAACATTATTGTGTACCTGATTACGTCTTATACACCTCATTATTTATCGTTCCAAATTTGTAAAAGCCTTATTGTAAACCTAAATAGATCAACCACGATTGTTTGAAAACGATATGTACAGTGTGTCTCACTTTATATATGGAGGATTATGCAATTTGAATTTTTTTCTATGAAGTACCGACATTATTTTGGCTCAATCTTTTAGCCCTATCATTTACGACATGACCTTTGCGGATACCATGTATAGAGATTCTTTTTATGCGCCCCTAGAGAAGAAAAAGAGTTATCTCGACCCTAGTTTCAGAATTGTAACTTCATACCTAATTACGGAAGATACAGGAGCTACCATAAAAATTAAGACACACTGTATATACAATTATTCGAGGTGTACCTCAAGTTTATACATAATGATAGTTTTGACTACCAATTCAGTTTTTTCATAATTATATCGTATACATATAGGTTCAAATCACTTTGGTGTCAATCTTCAGTATTCCATGCAAGCAATGGAAAAAGGATTCATTGGCATGTGTTTCACTAATACTTCACCAGTAATGGTGCCCACGGGTGCAAAAAAGGTAAAAAGTTTATCATTTTCTACTATCAACTACGAAAACGCCAAAATGCTCAAAGTGGAATGGAATGTTAAACAAATATGAATAGCTTGAATTCATTTCCACAAATGTTCATAAATTAATGAAACTGGTAGATAACGAGAGAAAAACAACTACTTTCCTGGCTATATGCCACTCAGAACATTCTCCCGATATCTATGCAACGATTCGTATAGACGAATAAAAGATTGCAAGTAGTGTTCTTTTCCTGAATGCTGAATTGTGCTTAAATTGTTTAGGAACACTGGACTACCTAACAGACCAGTTTCGAGCTTTTCGCTCTCATCAGCAGTGCAGGGGTGTCCCCAGATGACATTTATGACTGCCACCTGACCCAACGTAAACACAACTCAGCATTTAATACCCACGAGGCGTTCGGCCACTGTCAGATGAACACGAACGCCACCTAGGATAGAAGGAAGGAAACACTTCGAAAACAGATGCTTATTTCAGATGAAATGGGAATGGATGATTGCCTGACTGGCTGATTTCAACTACGAAAAAGACAAAATGCTCAAAGTGGAATATGAAATGTTAAATAGATATGAATAGCTCAGTCATTCCACAAATGTTCGTAAAAGAACGGGACTGGTGGATAACGAGAAAATAACTAATTTCCTGGCTATATTCCACGCAGAATATCCTCCCGAAATCTATGATTGCAAGTGTTTCTTTCCTAAATGCTGAACTGTGCTTAAATTGTTCATAAACGCTTGACTAGGTACCTATATACAGACCGGTCTCGAGGTTTGGCTCTCATCATCGCAGGGATGTCCCCAGATGGCATTCAGAAACAATTTGCGATCTCATTCGTCTATTCGCATCGTTGCATAGATTTCAGGAGGATGTAATTCAATGTTCTGCGTGGCATATAGCCAGGAAAGTAGTTGTTATCTACCAGTTTCGATCATTTATGAACATTTGTGGAAATTAGATTTTCTAGTATCTTCTTTGGGCCTATGATGATAAACCCATAATCGAAATGCCTTTCAGGTAGCTTTGGGGACCAATCCCTTGTCATTAGCTGCACCTGGTGAGTGTGGAGACAGTTTCGTTGCAGATTTCGCCACCACAGCAGTGTCATTAGGAAAAGTAAGTTTTTTTCCACAAGTGAACAATCAAGTTCATTTTTATGATTGATATTAGATCGAGATTCACAAGAGGGACAATAAGAAGATACCAGAGGGCTGGGCGCTGAATGACCAGGGTAAGCAAGAAACAGATCCAGCGATTGCCCTCAAGGCTAAAAAGTTGATGCCTTTAGGAGCGACTTCTAGCTATAAAGGCACAGGATTAGCTCTGATAGTCGAAATTTTTTGTGGACTATTGGCAGGTGATTGACCATTTAAGTTAAGATTTTTGCAGATAAATCAACCCACACCGGACTGTTTGTTGTAGATGCCAAGTATGGTCCAAATGTACGTTTTTGGGGCCAGATGCCGCCAGAAGAAGCAAATTTGGGCCAGAGCTTCTTGGCCATCAATCCCGAAAATTTCGCTCCTGGTTTTGGACATAGGCTGAGCGATTTATTGAACTACATCAGGAAACTAGAACCGGTAATGAAAATGACGTGAATGCTCGTTTTGGTGGAAATGTTACTAATATTATAGCTGTTTCCATTGTTCTAAAAGAGGCCTTTGATACAGTGGACCACACAATACTTCTGGATAACTTGGAATCCATGGAACTCAGAGGCATTGTGAGAGATATTTTAGCTTCATATCTTGAAAATAGGACAATCAGTACCAAATCTGCTAATTCTGAGTCTCATAAAATGTCAATAAATAAGGGTGTTCCACAAGGATCTGTTTTAGGACCAATACTGTATCTGCTTTATATTCAAAATATCACGAAAGTCGAAAGTTGGTTTAGCGAGTAATTATACAATATATGCAGACGATACAGTGCTTTTATATGAAAACAAGAATCCTCTAATTTCAAAAACTGTGATAAATCTGAAATTATTTGAAAAATGGCTCCACTTTAACCTTTTATCAATAAATATCAGAAAAACTGAATACATGATTTTTCAACAAAAAAATTAAAAAAAAATTCAGCTCAATCTTCGAATAAATAAGAATGAATTCTTGAAACAAACTGAACAGATAACTGGTACTGGTACTGGTGGGGGACGTTTCCACGTCAGCAACTAGTCCCTAATGGGACCTTTTTGCAAACCCCATGTGTTTTCAATGGCTGATGTGGTTCGCTCAAGAGAGCTGGCTAACATCCTTTTCAGGCACCGCCCATCAGCTCTCTTTCAGAGTTTTTCGGCTGTGTTTTGTAGGCTAGTAATGTACTCACTACCATATGCGCAGTGACAGGCCTGCTAACTATCCTCGTTAACCCCCGAGACCGAGGTCTACTAAGCAGCTGGCCCGCTCTCACGCTCAGCTGGTAGTTTTTCCACACCCACCTACATACACCGTCCTACTTCTTCTCTGATGCTCACAACCACATCATCATATCTTTCTGCGTGTTCTGTGTAGGCTTTGTTACTAACTCCATGCGCCATAGGCCACTACTTATTATTTTCTAATAATGTTCTTCCTCATACCAGAACTTGTTATGACTGGAAGATGTGTTTGATAAATGAATAGATAAATGAATGAAGAAATTAATAAATAAACGAATTCTCCACAGGCGGATCCTAAACATCCCGTCATGGTACCAGGTGACCCTGAGAAGCTCCATATGAAGATTATTGAGGAACAGGGTGGGATTATTTATCCGAAATCCATAATGGACGTTGTTGAAAAACTGAGCAAAGAACTGTGCGTGCAGATAATCGAATACAAAACTAAGTAACATGAAGAAGAAACACCAAATTCGTTGAAAGAATGAAATTTGTTAGGGCGTGCTTGTGAAACTGGTAACAAAAATAAAACCGTATTCGTTTAGTCAAAATATATTTTCCATATACATAAGTGTGGGTATACTTTTGTCCAATAATTATGTTGAGTAAAAAAATAAATAATGAGATTCTGGAAACGTTTGGTACCAGTGCCTCGAAAACGATGTAACGATGCATTAATTCCAAATCTTCATGGATTTGGTGGTCTTCTGTACAAATACGATTTCCTCATTGTATCTACAACTGAAAATTCCTATGCAACGAATGTGGATGTGAGTAGTGACCAGAGTGGATGGATCTTGGAACAGTCCTTTGGGAAAACTGAGAATAGGTGTCATCTTGACCTGGATGGACCATCAGTACTGGGTGGACACCCATAGATTTCCTGGATCCTGCTACACTAGCCGAGTCTCCCATGAAGCCACTGTTCATCTCTCCTAGAATGATAATAATAATAAATATTCATTCCAGCAGGTGATGAGTTCGATGAAAAGTTTGGGAATACGGAATATCTTGAGAATTCTAATGGATGAATTCTCTCAAAAAATTTGGGCGTTTTCAAAATAATGTCAGTATGAAAATAGTTCATATAGCCATTATTGTCACATTCCCCTTCCGTTATATTCCATTCCATATACAGGGTGTTGCGAAATTTAACAACGCTTGACAGGTGATTTTATAATTACTGAGATAGGATCATATAGTCTTCAAGTGTTCAGTTCTCCAGATACAGGGCATTGAAGTTGAGAAATTAAAATAGTTTTTTCGCAATATCTCAACAGGAATTCTATATAATTCATTCAAATTCGGTATATGGTTTCATCTTTCAATGGTTCATTCTTTGACCAGAAAGACATTCCGAGGATTTTATCCAGAGGTACGCTACAGGGGGTTGTGATAACTTTTCCTCCCATATTTTCTACGCCGCTGATGAAATTTCGATTATTTTCAATTTCTCAAATTGATTGTTCATTCATGTTCAAAAAATCTATCAACTTCAACTGAGCTAAAATGAACAGTTATCGAGATATTTGACCCAAAATAGAAGTTTGCATAGTAATTTTTCATCTTCCTCAGTAGTAGAAAGTTACAAAAATGTTTGTTTTCTCTTTACGCGTGGAATAACTATTCCTGTTCAGCTACAGAATGAGATCTGAATAGAATCTAATCTACTCAACACCAGAAAAATATTTTCGCAATTTTCTACTACTGAAAATGATGAAATATTACTATGCAATCTTCTATTTTGGGTCGAATATCTCGAAAACTGTTCATTTCAGCTCAGTTGAAGTTGATGCATTTTTTCAAAAAAACTGAACAATGAATTGGAGGAATTGGAAATAATCGAAATTTAATCAGTGATATAGAAAATATGGGAGGAAAAGTTACCACAACCCCCTGCAGGGAACCACTGAATGTCCGGGATGGCTTTCTTATCAAAAATGACCCATTCAAAAATGAAACCATATACCGAATTTGAATGCATTATATTCAATTATTCTTGAGATATTGCGAAACAACTATTTTTATTTCTTAACGATACGCCCTGTATCTCGAGAACTGAACACTTGATTATCTCTCAGTGATTATGAAATCACGAGGACAATCACCTGTCAAGCGTTGTCGGTGGAATTTCGCAACACCCTGTAATTGTGTTCTCGGTTAGAGTTTATCATTGAGAGTTATTGAAATATATCTGATGGCTTGACGAAGTTGATTCCAAGAGAAAGATTTCATCTAAAAAATATTTTTTTGCCAAAAATTAGGGGAGACTGCACATTCCCTTGTGCCCCAAAATGACGCCATTGAATCAGATAAGTACCTAATCGGGTGATGGAAGTAAAATAGTTTATCAGCTTATTAAGTAACATATTTGAAAAAAAAATTAGAGCGTTGAGACACCCTCTAAAAGGTTAAAATAGTAAATATGAGTGTGATGAATATGATAAGAATATTAACTTCCATTTCATTGCTTTGAACAAGGTGAAAGTGAAAGCTTTTCATGAGAATCGTTAAAAATACATTCACTATACTGAATTATTAATGACTCTTTGTTTCCGATAATTCAGAGATTTGGATTCTAATAGGTTTATAGTAGGTAGCTTCTAGATCACTAGGTTATCTATATCGATTTGAAAGTAGCCGTTTTCTTTTTATGAATTTAAAACGCCGAAATGAATTAACATAATCGTAAAAAATCTCGTTTGTTATTAAAATGTTTGCTAGTAACATATTTTTTCTATAAAAAGTATGAAAATTATTTGAATCAAAAATAGGAAATAAATATTAGTTTAAAAAAAAACACTCTTATGGATATAATCACACTAGAAAAAAAAAAAAAGAAAACAAAATAATAAAAGTGTGTTACATAAATACACAACATAGTATCTTCTCTATGTTGTATTTATCAACACACATTATTTTATCTTCTACTTTTTTTGGGGGGGGCTATATCTTTGAAAGCGTGTTTTTTTCGAGTGTTTTTCAAACTGCTATTTATTCGAGAATTGTTCACCTCACCTTTGAACAAACTGGTGGCAGTGGAGTACTGCGGATCGGCCTGCAGTTTGACGTGCCTCGTGGCCAGGATGAAAGCCAGGGTCGCCAGGATGACCGCGTCCAGGCACCCAATGGCGGCCAGGACGTAGGCCCAGCGGATGGTGCACACCCCCAGCAGGTAATTGTCGGCCTCGGCGCCGCACAGGTCTCGCACTGTGGAGGAGGACCACGCGAGTGGGTAGCAAGAGCAGGCTATTATCAGACAGGCCGCTGAAATTCGATGGTTATTATGAATATAATGATTATTTTTTACGTCGGCGGGAGTAGAAGTTTACATTTTCCGCATAGCTTTGCGCTTTCTTTTCGGAACACCCTTCTCTGAAGCGAGTATAAGCTGCATTATACAGATATGCCCTGTTGATAATGTTCAACGAAAACATACCCCTATATTGTCGAGCCTATATACAGGGTGTTTCAAAAATGCCTGACCCCCTTGCTAGGGTAGGTAAAACACTGCAAAATAAGTTGGTTTTGCTCAGTGAAAAAATGTCGTAATGGCATCCGTTTTCATGAAACAAGGTGTTGAAAAAATGATTTTTTACACATTTTTCACGATTATGTAAAAACTACTGGCAACATTGTGATGGAATTTTTTACGGATGTTTTTTGAAATCTGACACATCGCATGAATTTGAACTCGTGGTAAAACTCGATACTATGTTCCGTTTTCGAAATATTTCGATTTGAAAATAATGGAGTAGTAATGATGCTGGCTCGGATGCTGGTATAAAATGAATTTTATTGAGTTCAATTACCTATTTATTCAGATTCAAAAACAATAAAATTATTCTTGTGTTGAAGTTATTGATGGAACAAAGAATCATAAGTAGAAAATTAAGAGATATTTGACTAGAAACATGATATATTGAATTTACCTATGTGGTTTAGACTTTCTGCTCATGATACAACAAAACTGTGTAATCCATGTTCTTAGTCAAATCTGTTTCGATGTTATTCTTGTGATTCATTGTTGAATCAATAAGTTTAGCATCAGAAATGTATTGTTGTTTTCGATTTTCAATAAATAGATGATACATTTTGATAATACTCGCTCTAATACATAGCTTTTATACCAGCAACAGCGAGAGCAACAGTTAACACTTCATCTTTTTCAAATCGAAATCGAAATTGAATGATGTTCAAGTTCACATCAAATTGGGATTGAAAAATCTAACCTCAAAAAAGTTATGTTCAAAACTAATCGGTACGAACCGTGTAACTAGCGCTCTCTATGAGAGTCAGATATAAAAACAAATTCATGCGATGTGTCAGATTCCAAGAAACATCCATGCAAAATTTCATCACAATGTTGCCAGTAGTTTCGACATAATCTTGAAAAATGTGTAAAAAAACACATTGTATCTTGATAACGGATGCCGTTACGGAATTTGTTTACTGAGTAAACCCAACTTATTTTGCAGTTTTCTACCTACTCTAGTAAGGGGGTCAGGTTTTTTGAAATACCCTGTATATATGTATTTAGCTCAATTTGTTTATCACCGTACTCGTCACCGTATAAACATCTACTGAATAAACAGTTAATTTGCATATTGCGATGAAGAATTACAGGAAGTTCACTGGCAATTGATAATACCATAATACTCATTATTATTGTTTCAACAGCAGGAATATGGATAGTGGTACCTGATGGTACCGTTAAATATTTTACTCGATATTATAATATGTAACTGTATCGTAAGTATAGAGAAATGCTTGTGCCATAATATACAGTATACCTACGAGAACCTATTGATACCGAGATTGATACCCTATGTACACAAATATACAGGATGATAAAGCATTTCTAGAGCCATAGATTCAATAATATAATTTTACTCAATAGGTTATAGTCGTATCCCAAAATATTTGTGGAATGAGATGAGGATAGTTTGGTTTTCAAACTGTATAAATCAAATTGAACATCAGATTTAACCTGAAACAGTTTTTCCTCGGTTTTTCCGGAAATTCAAAAAAAAACTAGTAACTCTATGGCAGCTGCTCAGAGATAATAATAATAATAATAATATCCGTTAGGATAGTGGTGAAACCTCGGGTAAAACAGTGTATAGTGTATGGTCGTGCTAAAGGTTCAAGTCTTCAATATAAAGTGAAAAACAGTGAAGTGAAGTATTGCCGGCAAACAGCGTAACTCTAAATTTCGTACATCGTATTGTTCGCTGTAATGACGGAACAAGATTAATTCAGGCCAAGTCAGTTTAGGTTGTTTAGAAGCAGTAGTCTCTTCTGTTCTCTCAAGTAATTTTCTGAAAAATATACTTATTCCTAGTAAGAAGGTTCATTTAGGCGGAAAAATAGTGTTATTTCCATAAAATACCTATATAAAACATTTCACATCCGAATCTCTTGAATAGATCTGATAAGTACGTATATCCTCTAATATAGATAATTTTCCAACAACTGTAAAGGTGTACACTGATGTAATATGAAACATGATATTACGAGCTCCGTTACGAGTAACAATAACACACAATAGGTATGTACATGGGACAGAGGTACCAGAGTGGTACCTACCACATTGCTACACGATTGATTCGTGAGAAGTTTCTTGCAAAACCTGATGTTGAAACAGTTTTCTTAGAATTCTTCCCATGCTCACTGTTATTCCATTTTCAATTGATAATTAATATCCAAGTTGATATACCTACACTATAAGTAGCTTTGTCATAAAAAACCTCATTTAAGAATATTAATTAATGCCAGAATCCAGAATATAGGGCGATTTCCCCAGATCCGAAAGGAAATGTTTGAACCTGTGGAAAAATTAATTCGACTAAAATACCCTCGAAAATACCTATAGCCGAGTACCTATAGTCTCTGGTGCACATACATCTCGACATACATATATGGAATATTTTCAATGTTCAATTTTAATATGAATAACCGTATTCAAATAGTTCATACAGAGAGGATCACAGCTAGTCTCGCAGCTAGTATTCCGATATTCTAATAATAATCGAATATACTTTCATAAGGTATTTAAATATTTTCAAAGTTTTTGAACGGAGACTTGATCATTTCCAAAGTATTATTTGAATACCCTAGAACTGTTCTTTACTTCAAAATTATTTAAATACATGCATACTCACAAAAAATAATCTAGAAATGAATGTTCCATCTCATCGACTAATCTACAGATCGACAGTACAGAAACGATTATTCAAATACTGGATATAAGTTAGCTTTTTCGTGGATATAAACAATGTCAATATAAGCTCGGGACGATATTTTTCAATGATAATACAGTGCACCAGTGCAGTTATCTTATTATGATATACTTCACAAACGATGATCATTTGTGAAGTTTTTACATTTGCTATGGATTTCCATCAAGTAACGGCCGAGTCAATTCAAAATTATTATGATACGCCTATGTAAAAGTTCGGTTTAGAAAGTTCTTCCAAGTAGAGATACTTCCCCGATTTGAAACCAAAAAGGAACATGCGCTGGGACAGTAGGACATACCACATACCTGAAATCAATTGCAACCAAGCTGAGACGTGAAAAACAGTCGTGGAATGGCAAAAAAAGAACAAAACCATGGCACACACCGTCAAAACCGCCGTGAAACAAGCGACAGCCACCAGGATCGTAGCTCCTTGGAAAGCGATCGGCACATCCATGAAATTCTCCAGGTACTTCCCGGTACAACGCTCGCCATTTTCACCCGCGTAGCACACCGACCACAAGCCGAGTTTTCCGGGCGTCTCACCCTCTGAAACCCCTATCCACTCGGGGGTGATGAAGGACACCACCACGATGATGGCGTAGCATATCGAAAAAATCGCCCACAGCACGCCAATGGCTTTCGAGTTTCGCACGTAACTTGTGGCGTATATTTGGGAGGAGTCCACGTATTCGATTTTGGAACCCATTTTCTGGGTTATTGGCGTGGCCGGATTTTTATAGCGATTACATTGTGGATATGGCGAACGAGGCACGAAACGTGGTTGAGTACTGCACCAGTGCACCGTTCTGGGTTCTGATGGTATGCTGGTACCACTTTCCACTCCCTTCTTCGACAAGTTGGTATTTGGAATGGAATTGCTGAAGGCGAAGTGCAGTTGCGCTCATTCTTCTATAGCCATACAGCGCAAAGGCTCATTCAATTTGATTGGATTTTTTTTTGTGAATCTAGTTATGACAGAACAGAACAGAATTGGATTTTTGCTAATTACCGAAAACATTTTTTTAAAATAGCTTTATGGACGATATGCCATCAGAGATGACCTAAATACTTACCCAGCAACCTCAGTTACATCACAGAGATATCGCAGCGATGTAACGATTCTGACCTGCGATATTGCATTCAATGTCGCATAGATGTCACTGCGATGTCAGAGAGATGTTATTTTGTCCCACTCAAGTTTCATCCATGAGACGTTGCTGCGATAAGTTATCTGCGATAAATGTTCTGCAACGTAATTTCTATGTTATTTATGATGGAATAGCGATGTGTTTTTGCGATGAAATTACGATGTGATGCCAAATGACATAAAAAGTTTCCTCAAACATGGTGTGATAATACACCACTGACCTCTGAAGATATCTAATAGATTGTGCATTGTTGTGACTGGTTGGTGGTCCCATATGTGTACATCGCAGCGATGCAAAATTCGTGATATAGCCAGTGCTGCCCAATGAACTCAATATAAACGTGCTGCCTCATATCATGACATCTTATTAGAGATGCCATGTCGTAGATGTGTTTGCTTCTGTACATCGCAGCGATGGAACGTTTGTGGTATCGCACTGTTACCTAAACGCGACATCTCAGAGATGTCATGTCACAGATGTGTTGGCTGGGTACCTATGTTAACATGGAGTATGAAGTTTAACCTCATGATTTGATAACTCCCGCTTGTATATTAATGAACTTGCAGAAATATATCTAAAAAAAGAAAAATGAAATTTCATGAATTTTGTTTATTTTTTTGTTATTGCCTTATTGGAAAACTGAAATGAATGACACTTTTATATCATGACTTGACAAACTTTTGATAATTTATATAAGTAGATGTTTCTCAAACGATATAGATTCAGAAGATATTATATGGTAGTACTGCCGATGAGATGAGAATTATTAGCACAATGCGTGATCTCTCGTAAACATTTAGAGAGGAGTGGGAAGTGAGTACTAATGGTACTACTCATACTATATCCATATTTACCAATGAGTTTCTGTTTTCTGTAGATAGGTTTTGTTATTATTGATGGTTGGTTAAACTTTTTGTGCCATAGATAGGGTATCTGACCTTCTAACTTCGTATAGAGGAACTTGGTTTGCACTTGAATAGGACTTTGGACTTTTCATTTTCTTATCCGTAGTCATCCGAATGTGTATGAGGTGTTTCTGATAAGAATAACATCGTGGTTTTATCAGACATTAATTTCTGAACATATTTTGAGCATAAAACTTAAATATTTCCCGTTTCTCTATTCTTCCTTATAGTTATGCAACACAATATACAGGCCAGTAACAACTGACAACAGCAAAACGCGCGCATGAAGAGGTCCTGCTGAATGAGGTTGTACAGGGTGATTCACCATAAATGTCCCCACCCTCCAGCTCACTTATTTTTTAACCGATTCAAAAATTTGAAAAATCATCTCAAATGGTTTTTCAGAAATTGTTTCTCCGTTGCATCAGAAAATACAGGGAGCTCGGAACAAACGATCTACAGAGTACTACTTGATTTTTTCAAATATGGAACACCCTGAATTTCATTGTATTTTCAGATTCTCCCTGAAGGGGAAGGAGATTTTCTCTGGAGAGCTGATTTCATCAATATATCACACTTATTGGGGTCTAGCGATAATGATTACAGATCGAAATATAGGGTGTTCAAAATCGAGATTTTTCAACTTTTATATTTTTTTGTGTCGAAACTATCCATTATTGGTCAAAACGGCTTCAATGTCCATATCTGAACTTTTGATTTACTATATCTACTGACGTTTAATTGGAACATCTACAGTGTGGTTCAAGATTCAGGATTCTGATCACCCTGTATCTGTTCCAATTATTAAATGTCAGTGAGTAAATCAAAAGTTAAGATATGGACATGAAAGTTTTGACCGATAATGAATAGTTTCGTCATAGAAAAATTCCAAAGTCGAAAAATCTCCATTTTGAACACCCTATATCTAAATCATTTTCGCTAAACCCCAAGTGTGATACATTGATGAAATCAGCTCTTCAGAGAAAATCTAAAAATACAATGAAAAATAGGGTGTTCCACTTGAAAAAATCATATAGTACGTACCCTGTAGATCGTTTGTTCCGAGCACCTTGTATTTTCTGATGTTGCGGAAAAAAGTCGATCGAAAATCATTTCAGATGATATTTAAAATTTTGCAATCGGTTCAGAAATAACTGAGCTAGAGGTGAATCACCCTAAAAGTATTTGATGCTATCAGTCGTTATTCAAAATCATCTAAAATACTTTTTTTCATTAATTGAAAATCAGAACCTTCGAGAAACGCCAGGTTTCGTTACGTCATCCGCCTGCTGGCACAAGAATAGCCAGATATTCTAACGTTGCCAAATTTATAACCAGTAATTATAGTTTGTTGTGATTTATTTTTATCAATTATAAATAAAAAACAAATATAGTGAGTATATCAAAATTGTAATATTCAATAAATGAAAAATACAGTGTATTATTCCACAGTAGGTAATGTACATTACAAAAGATCTACATAAGTCATGAAAAAATCTTCATAGAACATTATATAGATATTCAGTGATCTGATTAAAACAGAAATGAACAATGGTAGAATGATATATTATGAATATGTAGATATTTTTTTATAGAACTCGTTGAATCAAAATTCACAAAACCATTCTGACTTTGGTGTACCTGAAATATCTACACATTTAAAATGGAACCATTTGATTTCACTTTATCCTTTATCACTATAACAACTATTCATAAGGGTTCCGTCATCAGCACTTGAACACTTAGGTACACCAATAGTTCATTTTTGCATGTATTCTTCTAATAACTCTTTCAACATGAATTCATCAGAGATGCTTTGCTATTTTGTACTTTTGGTGTAGATTTCATGTGTGATGATACACTTGGTGGCCTAACTAACTCACAAAATGAAGGTTTTACACAACAAGGTTTGATCTCACTCTTCAACTTGATATGATGATTCATTGGTCGAGTACCTATACATCATGAACAGTTTTCTTTTCAGTATTTACACCTTTACTTCTGAAAGGCCCTTTTATATTAGTCTGTGTTACAGATATGTTACATTCTGTATAATTATTCTGATTGATGTACTCATGATAGGATTGCTATGGAATGTGAAAAGTCAGTAAATAAACATCACAGACTCAACTGTTATCTAATTAACTTTCGATAATACAAATATAACAGTCTGAATACCAATAGATGTTTTGAGACCTATTTCAACTATTTGTTCCTCAACCTCAATGATGTCAGGAACTGATGATATAGATATATTTTCTACATTTTTTTATGATGAGGGTTTTGAATTTGGTTCTGCATAATAGCTGTATTTTTCGTTTCATCTAAACATTTTCCAGCAACTCTGCTTTCCTTTTTTCCTCATCAGTCAGTACACTTCTTTTGTATGTGGGTGGTGGTTCATTCAAGATCATGTGTGGCACCACATGGGGTTTCAGATTGAGTGTTGATCCAATGATTTTGAAAAACATCCAATTAACTGCATCGTCTTCAAGCTGAAATATTGGAAAATGACAAGGATATCACATTTCACAATGGGATCTCACATTGAAATGATCCTCACAGTAGTAGAAGTCATGTTCTGAAATAAATTTTAGATGTACTGCATCTAGCCAGTTTTTCTGTGTTAGGTACTACCGGGACGGTCAAAAAAATTTTTTCAGGCGAATTCTCAATCCTTTGCAGAGAGAGTTTATAAATGCCGAGTTGATACTCTCCCCTCGTAAGGGCACCTGTCGTGCTTCCATAGAGGCATAAAGGTGAATATATCTGTCTATCTGTTTGCTTGAGAATGAATCTGGAAAGGAAATCAGTATATCGCCTTCCGTACGAATATAAGAATCTGAATTCTCAAAAGAATACTCTTTGCGAATCTTCTGTTCGGTCCGTCTTGACTGGATGGTTATTTCCGATTTATTGACAAGTATCAAACACAGCTTTTCGGATCTGCAACTGAACATATAGCATATCAAAATGTTTATGAAAATTGAAACTGATTTTCATAAGCAGTGGAACATGGATGCTACATATTCGCTTTTTTTCCGAATAGTGATTCTCTCAGTAGGCATCTCATGAGGACGATGAATGCCAAACTATGTGCTGCTCGGATCTAAAAGTAAGTAGAAGTTATTGACAAGTATCGAACACTTTGATTTTCGGATCTGCAACTAAACATCACATATCAGAAAGTCCATGAGAATTAAAAATGATGTTGAATCACATACCTGAATAATATTTCCAAAACCGTATTTGGATTTCTTCATATTCGCTCTCCTTCCGAATAGTGGTTATCCCAGTAGACATCTGCTACATTTTAAATTTCGTGGGTTATAATAAGGACCATGAATGCCAAACAGTCTGCTGCTCGGATCTAAAACTGAGCATCAAATTGAAATTTGGATCAGAGACGTACATAGAATATAAATCAACGAAGTCTGGATATTTTTTTCAACATTCGTAACTGGAACGCGATATATTTTTATGATTATTCAACTCTCTCAATGCAGACGAGGTAGGCAGATAAACAACGATTTTCTCTGCAATGAAAAACACTGTATATACCTAACCCACCATGCGCCGACCTCCTTTGCAGAGAGGGTTTATAAACGCCGAGTTGATACTCTCCCCTCGTAAGGGTACCTGTCGTGATTCCATAGAGACATAAAGATGAATATCTGTCTATCTGTTTGCTTGAGAATCTGGAAAGGAATTCAATATATCGCCTTCCGTACGAATATAAGGATCAGAATTCTGAAAAGTATACTCTGGTCAGTTCTCTTTGCGAATTTTCTGTTCGGTTCGTCTTGACTGGATGGTTTTCTCCAATTTATTGACAAGTATCAAACACT